TTTCAGGACTCAGCACTCTGCCCTGCAGCTCATTTGTAGTTCATTTGGCAGCAGTGTCTATCCTTCTGCCCTAATACTGCAGGCCAGATACTCCTCATCACCTCATCATATACATATAACATCTTTTGTAGTGGTTTTCACAGCTTCCTAGGGAAAGAACTCCACTTCTTTACATGTTCTGCAATTGAAACTTGCATGCTAAGTTATTTCTTGGCTCCATAATACAACCCACTAACATGCTTCCAGATAGTTACACACACCAAATCTCACCAGAGACAAACTTTCTGTCTCTCTGTACCTTAAGATTTTGGCAAGGGCAAGAAAGTCCTTGCTAAACACACTTCTAGTCCAAATCCAGACCAGTAGCTCTCATAGAACCCAAACTTCCTGCTGTCTGAGCATTTGTCACACTGTATTGTAACTGCCCACCAGATTTAAGATGCACGAAGGCATTGGCAATATCTCTCTAGATCACTGCTGAGTCATCAAGAGCCAGCATGTTAGTACACACAGTAGGGATGCATGGAACAAATGGATAAATTCCTTCTCAATCATTACAACAGCTGCAGGTATAACTGTGGCCAAGCACTTGCTGAGCATGTGTGGCATTCTGGGTTCCAACCCCAGTACTAAAAAAAAAAAAAAAATGCTTTGCCAGGCTTGGTGGCATGCCTGTAGTGTCAGCTACAGTCTGAGATAGGAGTTTGAGACCAACCCAGGCAGCAATAGAGACTTCATCTCAAAAACACAATCAAAACAAAATAAAACATTGCGGTGGTGCACACCTGTAATCCCAGTAGCTCAGGAGGCTGAGGAGGAGGATCATGAATTCAAAGCTAACCTCAGCAACTTAGTGAGTTGCTGAGCAACTCAGCAAGACCCTGTCTCTGGATAAAATATTTAAAAAGAGCTTGAGATGTGGCTCATTGGTTAAGCACCCCTGCAACAATCCCCAGTACCAAAAACTAAAATAAAATAGAAGCTGTATGATCATTCCCCAATTTGTCATGATGTTTCTGAAGACTTGTAAGCCTTAGCACAGAGAATGAAAAACAATTGCCCAATTTCAAACCTACATTTTCATCACTTTATTTTGGATCAGGAATAACAGCAGAAATAAAATCCTAATAACCACAGTGAAATTAATTTGGCATGAAAAATCATCTCTGGAATATTTTCTTTCTAGGAATTTATTCTTATACTGAGAAAAAGCTGTTAAAATCTAAGCAGGAAATCTATTAAAACTTGTGGACATTTTAGAATATGATTAAACCTAATCAAAGATATTTGAAATAAACTAAGAAAATTATGGGTGTGTTTGAATATATTCACTATCATCTCACTGGAGACAAGTTTCCTCTTAGTCTTAGATACATCATTGTTATCTGCTTCATTTTATACCTCCTTAAAATTCTTCTATTTCAAACAAAAAGTTTAAATATATCGAGGCTTCATGTTACTAACATCTAACCTTCATTTAAGAGAGATTTTTTAATATTAAAAAATAAAACCTTTGCCAGATTCTTCTCACAGTACATTGGAATACTAAAACTTAGAAAATGATCATCGTTACATAGTCTGAAATAATGCCTTCCATGCCCAAATTTATTCAACTTTTCTGAGGCCTGCTTCCTGTCACATGTTGTACTAAATCCCTGAGAGCAGAGAAGTGAATATAAATTTACCTCTGCCCTGAAGAATCTCACCATTTGTTGGGAGAAATGAACAAATACAGATCATTGCAATGAAATGTTTGGTGGTGATGTCAAAATATACATGGGAGGCTACAGAAGCACACAGGAGACAAACTACTTGAGACAGGTTGTCCTTTTATAACACAATGAAAGTTGCTCCCTGCATTGATATTAGTGAAAAAATGCAGGCAGGTGTTACATACAGATTCAATGTTTCACCTGACAGTTGTAGAGAAAAATGTAAAGCCGATGAAGTTCAACTTTTCTTCTGAAATTTGGTAGCAATAGATGTGTTGGGTTTATACTTAGAAGAAGTTAAATGTTTCGATGACCCTAATGGGAACAACACAGTAAAAATCTCCTTGTTGAAATGCAAAAGACTTTCATGAGGGGGTGGGGGCGGTTGTTTATGAAGGAAAGGAGCATGGCCTTTCCCTTGGATGGACTTGGGTTTGAATAACACTCCTGATACTGCACGTGTGTTTTTTAGAGAAGTTGCATAAACTCTCTAAAACTTCAACTTTCTAAACTTCTTTATATGCAAAATAAAGCTAAAACTAATTTACCCATGAAGTTATTATAAGCATTTAATAAATGCTAGTTATACAGTACTTATCAGATTACCTGGGCCATCTTTAAAGGATTCAAATGTGACAATAGCAATCTAATTGTAAATCAAGGCAAGGATTCCAGTGTAGGATCCTTCCAGTATAGGCAGGGATTAAAGCACTGATCCCATGATAGAGGATCTGGAGTACTAGACAGGGGATAAAGACAGGGCTGTGGGTGACCCTGAAGATTATGGTGATGATGACAATGAGGTGATGACCACCATAGCTCCCCTCAAAGCTCAGAATATTTGTCACTGAGTGGAGTCTTGGATTTCCTAGGACCAACTAAAATATTTATATACAATCTTAAAAGTCTACTTCAGAAAAATCAGGTTCCAGTTAGCCTGCAAACTGCGTGGATACTCCCAAACTCAAAAAGAACTCCGAATCACTGGAATGTGTCATCTGGTGTTATGTGAATCACATCTTCCCAAAGAACACCTTCGCTATTCCAGTGGTAAAATATGGATGGTTAGTATATTCTAGGCACTGAGTCAGAAACAAAGTTCAGCCAGCAGTGAGTGGGATGGGATGGGACAGCCTGGGACACATTCTTGGAGAGCAGAAAGAGTTTGAAGACTGGAAGCAGAGCAGACACTGTACCTTGAAAGTAGATGGATAGCTCACCAGTGTCATTGCAGGGAAGTAGGAGGAAGAAGAGTGATTCAAAAAGGAATGAAGGCTGTGTGCCCATAGGAGAAATCTAGGAGGAAATTCCATTTGGAGAGCTGAGGAAGGAGGGAAGCTATCACTAAAGATCAAGAAAGAAGAGCAGCAAGAGGGTAGCATTGTTCCACAATACAGAACTCATGAGGATTTCTTAGATGGGATGCAAGAGGAATAGTCAAGTGTCAGACAAAGCCCAAGATCAGAAGACTCAGAATGCTGGGGGAGCAAGGCAGACACCCAGCACAGGGAACCAGGGCTTCTATTACCAGGTTTACATATAAGGGTGGGAACCGAGGAGATATTAATGGCAGAGTAAATCTCTAAATGCAAAATGCTTATTTCTACACTAAAGAAAATTTAAAAGCCATAAGGGCAGGATAATCCCCCTCAATGCCAGAACAAAACGGTAGCTGCTGGTGAGGACTTTGTTGCAGTAGTTGAAATTAAAAGCAATGAGGGATGAAAAAGATCGGTTCATTCTATTTTGATAGTTTTCACATTCAGCCCATCTAGGAAGTTGGGCCTGAGGAAACTGAAATCTTTCAAACTCTATGAGAGATTGAAAATTTATTTTTAAATGTATAAATTGTTGCTTTTAAGGAAAAGCAACCAAAGACGATCAGTAGCATGATTTTCATGCATCTCATGTAGATGAAGTATTATGGTCCTTTATATTGTCATAAATTAAAGGATAACATTTCCATGGTGTTTTACAGTTTTCAAGTCCCAACACACTCATTATTTCATTTTATTCCTCAAAAACCTTATGAAGTAAATGAAACTTTATGAAGTAAATGAAATGATCAGGCAAATATGCAGATATACAAAAGAATACACAGATTAATGACTTAAGGTATTAAAACCTCATGTGGATCAGACCCAGATAATGTAACTCTGAGTACCGTCCAATCCCCAACATTTTACTGAGAACTGAGGTAAGAGAAGAATCTGTTAAATTATGCCCTTTGATAATCTTATCCCTGGTGACATTGGATATTAACCTTCTTCTACCTATTGTCCCACCTCTTATGCTTTGCTTTATGGGGGGGGGGGTAAAATTCCAGAATTTTCCTCTGTCCTGCACCTCCCTCTAATCTGAAATGAATCTGAGCAATGAGAGGAGCAAAAGCTTGGGATTCAGGCTGACATGGATTCCAATTCCAGCTCTAAGATTCCACAACTTGTTTTCTATTATTAAAAAAAAAAATGGTAGCCACTATTATTGTGGAGGGTAATTAAGCTTTTTGAATGTGATAACAAATGTAAAACATCTGGTACATAGTAGACATTTAATGACCATTGCATTTTTGCCTTCTCTTTTTCACACTATTATGTTACCCTGTTTGATTTAGGAAGGCAATATTGACTACATTTTGCAGATGAGCTATAAGAAAGATAAATTCTTAGGACCACACAAAAGGCAAGAAGAGACGGACTTGGACCTTTATTTCCTAAGGCTCATCATTGACAATTTCAGTGTCTTGTCCTAACATCCTCTTAGTCCAACTTTAATTCTAGCTGGTACTATAGTGGATGGTCCTTGTCTACAGACAACATCCCACTTTAGGCATCCCCTATTCCCTATGTATCTCCTCTTCTCTGCCTCAAGTTTCTCTCTAACATCCCTAGGAATTCCCAAGCAAGAAATTCATGGAAATACAGAGGGTTTCAAATCCCTTTGGGCACCTTTCAAGAAATGGGAGCAGACTGCCAGTGGATAAATGCCCCAGACTCTCTTCTTTCAGACACATGATTTGTTCTGAAATGCATTGCGTTTGGTGGGCTACATTTTCCTACAGAGTAAACCATCTCAATAGCCTTCCCTATTTTGACTTTTCCTCTTCTATCACATTTTTCTTACATCCTCAATCCTGCTTTCTGGGTTCACCTCCCAAATGAATGACCTACACCTGAGTCCTTTTCTCAGACTTCATCTTGGGAAACCAAAGCTTGGGTAGGGAGAGGGAAAACTATTTGGCTTTGCTCTCATTGATGTTTGTGCTGCGTTTTCTCTTTTTCTCCACAGGTCACCAAGATGCTGGCAGTGGTTGTAATTCTGTTTGCCCTTTTATGGATGCCCTACAGGACTCTTGTGGTTGTCAACTCATTTCTCTCCAGTCCTTTCCAAGAAAATTGGTTCTTGCTCTTTTGCAGAATTTGCATTTATCTCAACAGTGCCATCAACCCAGTGATTTACAACCTCATGTCCCAGAAATTCCGTGCAGCCTTCAGAAAGCTCTGCAACTGCAAGCAGAAGCCAACAGAAAAGCCTGCTAACTACAGTGTGGCCCTAAATTACAGTGTCATCAAGGAGTCAGACCATTTCAGCACAGAGCTTGATGACATCACTGTCACTGACACTTACTTATCTGCTACAAAAGTGTCTTTTGATGACACCTGCTTGGCTTCTGAGGTAACCTTTAGCCAAAGTTGATTGATGAATTAGACAAAAATGGACCACAAAGTAAATGAGAATCCGTGCAGTTATTCACAAAAGACAGAAAACAGCCAATGCTCAAATGTGAAGAGAGAGCAGATAGCCTTTCCACTGCTCTCCCAAGTCCTGGCCCAAGGCACTTTAAACCATGAGAATGATTCAGATTTTTCTTCTTACAAAACTAGTATCATAAAAATATGGGAGCAGATCTGTGAAATAGCTAAATGGGGAAAACTAAGAGTGTGGCCCCTTTTGTTTAATTTGGAAAATCAATTTTGTATAAAAGTTTCAATAAAATTCACACATCAAGTTAGGTGGAGTGGCACCCACCTGTAATCCCAGTGGTTCAGGAGGCTGAGGCAGGAGGATCCTGAGTTCAAAGCCAGCTTTACGAACTTAGAGAGACCCTAAGCAATTCAGAGAGATCTTGTCTCCAAATAAAATATTTCAAAAAGGGTTGGGGATGTGACTCAGTGGTTAAGTGCCCCTGGTTCAATCCCAAGGACCAAAAAGAAAAAAAAATCCAGACATCAATTTTAAATTATTCGTAATTATGTTACCAAATGTGAGCCCTCCAAATTATTTATATACTTGGTAATTTGGCAACATGCAGATTTTTAAATGTTTTCATTAGGTATTTTACTTTAACAAAGTTCAGTTATTTCATGAATATCTGAAAGTATAGGGTAATATAGGGAAAAACATTTATTCATTGAGTAAAAATGATATTTCTGACCAACATGTTAACTATATTAAAAATGTTGTTTATAAAATTTGGAAGTAATTTTTATATCTTACAGAGTAAAATAATCATTAAACTTTAATGTAAAATAAACCTCAAAATTATAAATTGAGGAAGCATATTGATTTGATTTGGAGATGAACCAGCTCTTATCAACTATTTAATGCTCCTAAGTGATGGATGGGGCAGGAGCAATATTCACATTAAATAGCCGTGAACACACAAACTAATATACAATTAATATTGACATATAACAGCCAACACAAGACCAAGTATTAAAAATAAGGTTTTAACTTTTTCTCTGAAACTTTTAAGGAAGAAAATCCTTTCTGAACATTCTTGTGTATAAACTACTGAGCCATGTCAAGAGAATCCTTCTAACTGAATCAAGCATAAAAGTCTGAAACATTCTCAAAGTTATAGTTGTTATTCCAAGTCAGCCAAAATCTGGCTATTACACTTCAAGACAAGGACTCCCCCTGAGCATTGTAGTCTATGGATTTTAACATGTCTGAAATTGTCTTTTCTTCCTGTCTGCTTGTCATTAGTAGTTTTTTGGTTGTTGGTTTTTTTTTTCAAAATCTAGTGACATTTTGTTTACCGATTCTAAATCAAAGCAACGTGAAAGTCTATTGATTTTATTTTTAATTGAGTTAAAACTGATATCATCCTATCATCAGTGTCTTATCTTTATAGTTTTGACTTAGACCTGCTATTCCAGGGATTATTAGACAAGTGTATATGTGACTCTTCCCCGGACATTTGTCAGCCCTGCTTTAATACCTTTTAAATGACTCACCTACTGAGATTTGGTCAATCAGCATCTCCAAGGGTATAAACTACCTGTGGTGATGGTTCAGTAATCACTGATTTTTTAATAACTGGATCTAAAAGTACCTGTACTTTTAAGCACCGCATAGACTAGCATCTTCGCTCTACAGCCTATATTCCTATTTCATGGAGATTTTTCTGGAACCTAATTGCTAATGATGACTACCTGTCTCCACCTTCTGTGCTAAAATACTACTTCATGGAGAGTCTGTCGTCCAGAACCTCATTCCAGAATATGCTTCTGAAACTTTGCCTCATCTACTCCAGGAAGACATTCTATCATTGTATCAGTAAGTAAATGCAAACAAAGATTTATAGAAAAATACCCTAAAGTCTAACTGCATGTCACTGAATAATCAACTTTAACTGAATTTTCATCCTGGATTAAATATTAGTCTTGGAATCATATAAGTAGAACACTAAAGTGACCCAGTCCCAAATCTTACAAGCATATATGCAAATGCATACAAATACATACACATGTGTACATAAATTGCTTAACAAAGGGGATTGGAATATATTAGACTTTTTTCATTAGGGCAAAGAACCAATATTATTGAGTATCTATGTCTTAGGCATGGTAGGGTAAGTACTGAAATCAACATTATCTTCACCACAGTATCACTAGAATTGTGATTTCTCTGATGATAAGACCAGGAATCAGGCATTCATTCTCTAAATAGTATAGCTACTAAGGAGGACAAATGGAGAAAATATGTTTTCTTTTTTAAAGCTGACATACTAATTAAATTCTTATGACCTGATGGCCTAATTACACACACACACACACACATACACACACACGCACACACACACACACACACACATCTATATATATAATATCTTTGAAGAATGATAATATCAAATGTTGAAAAAATATGAACAGTTTTACTTGATATACAGAACATAATATACTTCTCTGACATTTTGAAATTTAATAAATGGGCTCAGATTTTCCATTTTAATTTTTAAAAAGTTATTCACTAATAATCTGTTAGTTTTAGACTATAAGGGAAATTCAAAAGAATGCAGTTCATGCTGTTTTATCTCTTAAGCAAATGCCATTATAACATTAAATGTTCCTGCATAATGTCCAATAGCAAGTTGGATTTACACAGAAGAGATATAACATTCTAAAATATTCTTTACCACACTAAACTAAATCACAAAGTGTTTCCATAAATAATTAAAACAATATGCTGTTGCATGAAAAATAAAGTGGTAAATAAAAAACTGTTGGTGGAATGAAGTAATGTTATTAAGAGATTCCCTTAATAAAATTCCTTGAGGCATTTTATTATTTCCAACTTTATTAATTAATTGCTGAGTATCATTGGTTACATCTTCCACCTGAAGTATGTGAATATAGGGTAAAGATCATGAATAGGGCAAGTGAACATAAATTCCCTCTTTGGATTTCTTCATCAATATTGTGAGTATATTTCTGAAGTTTAACATACAACTCAAATACTCTCAAAGCCAAGAATAAATAGAAAAAGTCCAAACTCTATAATCACTCTTAAAGAGATTAAATAAACAGAACCAAGCACCTTGATAATCAATGAAAAGAAATGACTGATTAGAGCTAAACTAGAGAAGTCTCAGGACACTATAGCTATAAAAACCTAGTACAGTATAACTAAGTCTTAAGTGGATACTTGAATTGTTATATTTCCAGACTCTGTTGGAATAATAAGGACAATGTTTTGGTAAACGTGGGTTTACACAGTTTGAGACTGCTCTTAAAAAATGAGTTGCATCATTCTACAGTTTGTTAAATCTGTAAACATAATAGAAGAGAAAGACATTAACTTTTTAGTAGAAAAGATTTTAAATGAGTAACCTGCGATTCTACAAATTGTATAAATATATTCAGTATTATTTTTGCCTCTTGACTGCAATTCACAGAGGGAGTGGAATATTTGTGTATGAAATAAGGAAACTAGATGTAAATCACTGAGCACTCAGGAGCAAGGAGTTCATCCCAAGTTCAAAGAAAATTTTTTCAAATGTTTGGAATCATTTGTTCCCTTACGAAGGAGGGCACCATCATAAAAATCTCTAGCAATTTATTTTCTGTTTCTTTAGCTGTCTACAGTAAATAGTCATCAAAACCAAGATTTGACTGAGCAAATTTGTTGTCAGGATAATACACAGGAGGAAGTCCTATAGAGCCCTGTAGTGATGGGTATTTTTTCCTTTTCTCCCCCTCCCAATCAAACGCTCCTCCCTCCGTGAGCTTTACTTTTCTAGGAGCAGAAAGATTTATCCAACTTCATTCAAGACTAAAACTGGACATCAAATATATTAAGTAAAACTCTTAAGTGTTCTTCAAATTTATTTATGTATGAGAAAAAGTCTTTCTTTGAAAGTTTTTTTTTTCCTAAATTACTTTTAAATTATGGGAAAAAAGTGATGCTTCTGAAATTTCTATTAAGGATGTCCTCATTTACATGATAAGACTCAGGTGGAATTGAGCTGCTTAAAATAGCCTTTTTTTTTAAACACAGAACTAGGCACAGGTTTTGCATTTCATAGGTTTCAGTCAAAAACCAACAGCAGGACACTCAATAGATGCAAAACTGCTAAAGGGACCTATGGAAGAAAACAAAAGGTTTTTTCCATCCTTAAAAAGCTCACAATCCAGTAAGAGAAACAAGACCCATGTAATACCACCTCAAAGATATAACTGTGGGTACTAATTAGAATATGAGTTGGAGATATTAGAAATACATTTTAAGGAAGCAATTATTAGTGTATTTAGCAATGTTTTAAGATGATATCATATACAGATCATTTACATATTCTGATTCTATTTTATAAACTATAATTAGAAAATCCAACCATTTTAATTTTTAACTTCACTGACCACAAATAAGACCTGATAATATTTTCCTTGTATGTTTGGTCTATAAGTTATGATCTCAAATCACTCAGGACCTAGCCTCATTACAAGAGTTATACTTTGGGGAAAAATTTTGTTACTGAGATGACAAAATAACTCCGACTATTGACATAGTCAGCACCAAATGAACTTCACTAATGCAAACTAAATCTATGTGGTTCCTATTTTAATATTCAAATAATCTCTTCTGACAAAAGTAATCATGAATGTTTTTACACAATATCATCAGGGCTATTTACATTCTTCCACGCCAAGCACATTCATGGTAAATTCAATATAAGTTGATTGATTTACATTTTGGGAATTACATCTTGAAAAAACATTTTTAAAGGCCGGATAAAGTAGTACAGTAAAGATAGCACATTGTCCAGAACCTTCAAAGCTGAATGTAGCAAGAAAACAAGATCGTTTTAATGGCCAATAAGCAGCAAATCCACATAATGACTGCCTACAAGTCCTCATGGAGGAACATCTAGGTCAAGCCCACACTACAGACTCTCTACTGGAATAATGGAAATGCAAGCACTTTAAAAATTATAAAAGTTAAAAGGATGAGATAAACAATAGAGTCAGCTTGAGCTCCTGCAATCCTATGAGTGATTATTTCATTCTTCAAAGAAGAATGGCCTTAATTCTTTTGCATGTAGTTGTTCTGTGCCAGAAAAGAACATGAACTCCCTGAAAAAGAGCTGATTGATAAAGATGGACCCTTTTCAGGAAGAAAAAAAAAAAACAGATGCAATATGACAGTAGAGTAAAATTCCACCTGACCAGAGGTCTGAATGCAGATGTCTGTAAGAATACTCTATACTCCTGCAACAGCAAAAAGATACCCCAGTAAGAAAGCAGAGTATTTACGTACTAGCCCAGATCATAAACCACCCCTCCCTGCTTTGATACACAGAATTAGCTGGGAGCTCATCTTAAAATGTGCTTTTTTTTTTTTTTCAGTTTTCTTTTTGTCCCCGACACTAGAGATTTTCACTTACTCGGTGATTTTGATGCCTATAGTTCTCTGAGCACACCTCAAAAACCTCTGGTTTCTGAGCCCCCATGTGGAACCTCCAAGGCTTTTAGTTATCCCAAAATTTATAAAGAAAAATTCCTTGAGGGCAAGTCTATTTCATCTTTGAATTCTACAAATTATCTAAACTTGGATTATGTCCCTAAGATTCTGTTAAATGAGTAAGTAATGAATTCCAAACCAAGAAATGTATTCTAAAATTGTGATGATGCCAAATTTGTCCATAGATCTATCTTCACAACAAAATAACTTGTTTGATTTGTTTCTATTTCTTAAAATGGTTCTACTGGCTCAGTGAAAGGTACTACATTGCATGCCAGATGATGGTCAGAACAATCTCTTACGCAAATCAGAACAATCCCTTACGTAAATCATGTGGGACAATTTCAATAGCACTCTCATTTCCATAACCTAATTTAATAATGAGAAAAAAAGGAGAGTAAAACTTTCCCTCTTCAAGAAGATCACTATTTAGGGAGAGCAACACTGACACAGAGTCAGATAATAAAATCAAAATACGTAATTGGAAGCCAAACTGTGATTTCAGACTACAAACAACTGAATTCTTCAGAGGGAAGAAGATTTCAGGGAGGCCTGGAGTAGCTAAGAGAACTTTCTAGAGAAACTAGGGTCTCTTTCAGGGATGGATTGATTTAGATAGTTAAAGGAAAGACAATCCATGAAAGAGAAATAAGACAAATGCGGGCAGGGAAACACAAATAAATCATGTTCCGTGCAAGTTCAATTCAACAGGGATAGACGAAGGAAGGCAATTAGTTGAAAGGAAAAGTAAAGGAAGGAAAGGAACTACCTGTACTTGGTGAAAAAATATTCACTCACACCCAAGAGTAGAAAGTAGAAATGTATATAAATAAGCTATGTTGATTTCCTGAACTTTGTGAATTTCATCTATTATCTATAGAAAAGATAGTATACTATTTGTCTTGTAAGTGTTAAATTCTAAAAGTATTCTTGTAGTCCTAATTTTCCAAGTGAAAAATACATATGTATCTCTTTTCTATATTATATTGTTATCATATATTGAAAAGTATTTATACATGTGTATATTGTTCAGTGGTCCTTGGCAACTCTGAAATTATCTGATTATGCCAAATATAGAGATCAGAGCTAGCTTGGGGACTTAGGCCCTTTGTGAACCTAAACTTCAACAATAAACATGAAACTGAAAAACACATAGTGTTAGCTTCAGATTACTGTAACAACCTTGACTTGCATGTTGCTTATGATGTGCCTCTGAATGTCTTGGCTTCCTTCTACCAGTTTCAGAGTGTTGTGTGCTGACTGGCTTCATCACTTGGGAATTATTAACCATTGCATCCTTGTGGGACAGTCTTCTTTAACAAAGTGCAGTATTATGTGCTCTACCATGGGAAACTGTGTATCTGCTTCAATATATGTATGGCAAACAATAAAGCATCAACCTGAAATATTTGTCTCTTTCACTTTCTTATCCCTCTGAATTGTTTCATTTTGGGTGATACTCAACCCTAAATCATTTGACCAAAAGATTTCATTTTAATTCAGTAGCATCCATCACATACCAAGAATCCTGGGTTTGTAAAATAAGCAATGCACAAATATACTTTAAATTTTTATAATTAATTTAATGTGTATTAGAACAAATATGACTAGCTCATCAAATCCATACCGAGTTTCATTAATGTTGATATAAATGAAGGCAAAATTCATATGGGAAGTAACAAGAAGTTGAAGGCTGGGCAGCACTTTTCAAAGCAATTGCTTCAAATGTCTCTTACTGTCACTTTTTGGACAACAGCAAATACTAAACTCTAATACTTGTGGGCTATTGTAAAGCAGATTGTTCCACTGCCTTTGTAATTCCAAATAAGCTTTGACTTGCCTGGAATAGGTGAGATAGAAATGCCTGGACTATAAAGTTTAGCTCTATGTAAAAGCAAACTTGTCTGGTCCCTGGGCTACTGCTCTGGTAGATTTCATTTGAAAAGGTTCATTTGGGTCTGGTTAAGGAGATTCCTGCTTAAGTAAATCCCAAGCTTTGTTTGAATGAACCCATTCTTTCACTCTTGAAGACATGGGGAAAATATAAAATATACTTGAAACATTGTAACATCCAGGGAACAAGAGAAGATTCTTTTAAATGCCTCAAGCATAGTCCTATCCCTAATACTTCCAAATAATTTTTTCTTATGTTGCAATGTGCAGCACCTCAAGCTCTATAAATTTTTCTCGGTTTTCTCTGATAATTAATTTCATGGGATTTTTTTATCGAATATCATATCACTCTTTCCTAGGACTTCTAAAAATGCTACAAAATCAATAAGAGTCTTTTTTCTCCCCCTCACCACAATCAGCAAAGCACAGTACCCAGAACATAGTGGACCATCCACAAACCTTTGTTAATGATTGCAAACAAATGGGTTTATTAAAGAATTAACTTTAATAAGCAGGAAGCACTGTATATCACATATAATAATCACAAAGGGTATAGATAGCATGTAGACACTGAGAGATCTTAGGTCTCCTCAAGATCTCCATTTATTTGTGTTAACCTTATAATATCTTCCACTTAATGATTCTGTAAAGGAACATCTGTGCAGGGGAACTGTGGACTAGATGCACAAAGAACACACACACACACACACACACACACACACACACGGCAGGTGCAGACAGACAGAAGGATGGGAGACAATAGGAATACCTATCCTTCTCTGCAGTCATCTTTAATAACCCCAAAATTAACATATTACCCACCACCAGCGATTACACTTTGACCAGTATTCCTTTAACCCTGAGTGTTAGCTAACTGAGATAAGGTCCAGGTTAATGCAAACACAGAGCCTCTCTCCTTCAATGGATGTCACTATGTTAAACCAGGTAGCGCATCCACATAGTTATCTTAATAGCCTCAGCAGGGAATAGCTGGGCATTCCATTCAGTAGGAATCAGGGCGCCCATTACAGCTCCCCACCCCCACCCCCGGAGTTTGCTCACCTTGCTCACCGGGGAATGCTTCCCTGTCTATTTCCATGGACAGAATACCTACATGATTCAATTATGTCCCCTGTGACATGAGGATCCATGAATGTGTACCCACTTCACAAAGCTGCCCATTCTACTGATAAAAGTTGACATAATGTAGATGTATCTATGCAAATCACAAGTAGCAGCCACTTGAGGTGCCTGCTACCACTTCTCATTTTGGCTCAGTGGTTTCAGCACAGCTGTGGTGGACAGTTCCACACATAGCATCACTCTGCCTTGTCCTTTAACCAAAGTGACTGCATTACTGCCTCACCATCTTCTCCAAAGCTGTGGAAAGTCACTCAGTGGAAACACAGGTAACCAAGAATTTCAAGGCAGTTAATGTCTATAGGACCAACATTCAAGTGAAGGAGAATGAAACCAATGGACAAATGTTCTAGTCTTTCATTTTCTTGGGTAATAACTCTGAGGTATCTTCAAAATGATTCTTCAAAGAGTCCTCACATGACTGTGTTTCCATTCTCCATCCCAGAAACTAGCTCAAATACACACCCTTCATTGACATTTCTTCCTTCCTGTCCTAGTGTCCAAATTCCTTCACTTCTACTTCCTGAAGTAACCTACAAAATGTGCCATCTGTACCCAAATCCTTGCTTCATGTTTGAGCTACCCTCAATACTACATTTTTTTAAAGCAAAATGTCATTTAAGTGATAGTCAGAAATATATTTTTGTCTTGAGAATTAAAAATCAGAAAATGACTCTTAGAACAAATCTCTTTGTATTTCCAATCAGAAATTGCCCTCAGAAATCTTGGAGAATTGACATGGAATATGTATGTTAGCTATTACACTCTTGATAGAGCACAAATGTCATGCATTGCAGAAAAAAAGTTATTTCTCTGTACTCCTGAACCATAAAGGATTGTATCATTTCTATTCAATTTTGTTCTCCTCATTCTCTCTTACGTACTTTATAAGTATCTGACTCTTAGCAAATAAAATCATTGCATCTAAAATGGAGAGATAAACCTAAATGATGAGTGGACTATGAGAATTAAATTAAATTAAATTAAATTAAATTTAGAAGCAGTGGCAAGATACATAGCCATGGTATCTACTTGTTTACAATGGAATGTCAGGAGTAAAATAATACTCTCAAATCAGAAAGTACCCATTCAAAAATGGTAGTTAGTTGGGCTATGTCTTATTTTCAAACTAAGAAATTTTTCCTGAAAGCATGATAATAAGAATGAAAACATTATTTTCTTAACTTTTTCTGGTTTAAAATAATAGTAGTATTATCTTCACAAATTTTCTGTAAATCTAAAATTATTCCAAAAAATGTTCAAAAATTATATGTGTGTATGTGTATATATGTAAACAAATTATATATTTTTTAATATATGTACATATATATATAATATAACAAATGTTGGTAATAGAAGTCCAGAAGGAAAGCAGTATAATCCAAAATGTTTCTCCTATAAGTTCCAAATTATTTGGGCACCAAGATAAGATACCTCTATTTTTTTTTTAGGAAACATTAGTCAAATGACAAAATTATGCAAATCTTCTCTTCAAAATGACTAACTATGTTCATAATTGTCAAGTCATAATTCAAGTGCAGCAAGGCTCTTTTGCAAAAAATCTTTTGAATCTCTCTCACTGGACTCAGTTAGCTTCATACTTGTTATGTAGAAGCATAAGTCAGAAAAGTCCACCTTAACCCCAAATGTGTGTACTCGTGCTCACGCTCGCGTGCTCTCTCTCTCTGATTACAAAATTTTCAGAAATATAAGAAGTACAGAGTAAACCAACATTTTTCTTTCTTCACGGCACAAACTACTCATCAGCTAAAATGTATTATGCACCTTCAATGTAAGCTCACTCTCATGTGTTACTGAAAGCTCATCATTGATTCCAAGGACTTCATTCTACCTTTCCCATGTTATCTGGAGAGAAATTCCTCCATTGACGATTAAAATGCTATTTCAACTTTCCCCCCGCGCTACACAACTTACGTGTCACTTCTTAAGTCCTGGATATGGTAGGTAACATGGTAGTGGCAACTTTCAAGTTTTATGGAAGACTAACACTTGAGCTGAAGAAGACCTGAAAAACAGGCAACAAGAGCAATAACTGAGATGTTTGTTGGTTGGTTGATTTACCTTCTAAGTCCTATTTTTTTATTAGTTCATGTCTTTTATTAACTCATATACATTACTTGTCTTCTGGTTTGTTGAGGGAGTAAGTCAGATAACACTTGCCACAATAATATCTGTCAAAGTGGTTGGTGGTACACACTCCAGCACCATACTCATCTGGTGGCTAATTTTGCCATTTTCGTCTACCTTCTAATATTTCAGGACAGCCAACTTAACCTTCATTCTCTTATGCTCATTCTTCTTGGGAGTGGTGTAAGACAACTTCTTCCTTTTCTAAGCACCACCACAAAGCCTCAACACAAGAGGAAGGACTCCTTCTGAACATTGTTAAGAACATTGTTAGTCATTGAACATTGCTATACATAGTCACGAACATTGTTAGACATATCTTACATATTTGGGAATTTAATAAAAACTTAATATTGCTAGGTCTCATGATTGTCATGATAGAATTATATGGAGTGACACCTAGAAGACTTAGAGGGATCAGGGACTAAGTATCAAAATTGCTGCCTGCATAAAGCAAACACTCAAAAGAAGTTGAGGTGAGGGTCTACCTATCTAGGGAAGCAAAGAGGAAATTTTGTCCAACAGGGAAATGGCATCCTCATAATTAATGGAAGGCAACAAATGGATAGTGATATGGAGACATTTACAGTTCCAGGGAATTCTCTCAGGATACACAGCATCTTTGCTGAATATGTTTGTGCATTTTGTTTTCATTTTTTTATTTCAATTTGTTATATATGACAGCAGAATGCATTACAATTCATATTACACATATAGTGCAAAATTGTACACAGAGTAGTCACACCATTTGTGTCTTCATACATGTACTTAGGGTAATGATGTCCATCTCATTCCACCGTCTTTCCTACCCATGCCCCCTCCCTTCCTCTCCCTTCCCTTTTCCCCTTTGCCCTTTCGAGAGTTCATCTAATTCTCTCATGCCCCCACCACCACCACTACATTATGAATCAACAGCCTTAAATCAGAGAAAACATCTGGCATTTGGTTTTTTGGGATTGGCTAACTTCACTTAGCATTATATTCTCCAACTCCATCCATTTACCTGCAAATGCCATGATTTTATTCTCTTTTAATGCTGAATAATATTCCATTGTGTATATGTACCACATTTTCCTTATCCATTCATTTACTAAAGGGCATCTATGTTGGTTCCACAGTTTAGCTATTGTGAATTATGCGGATATAATCATTGATGTGGCTGTGTTCCTGTAGTATGCTGTTTTGGAGTCCTTTGGGTATAGACCCAGGAATGGGAT